TTACTTTTGGTTTATTTACTCGTTTATCAATCACCATTTCCAGCTTTTTTAAATCATTAGTGAAACCTAAAGTCAAAAGAACATCAAGTCGATTTGTCTGTTATTCAGTCACAATTAAACCTACAAGTTATTCTAAGCATGTAGATAATGAGGCAGTAGAGTCTGTTTAGTGGACCTAGAGGGGGCGGGGCTCCACCGTTTTAGAGTGTGGTGCGTTTGTTCCTTCCAGCTTCAGTTTGCTGAGGTCTGCCACAGAATACCAACCAGACTCAGCTCCACACAATAGCTCCCCGTCCCACCAACTCACAGCAGTCTCTCTCTCTCTCTCTCTCTGGGCCTGAAAACGCCTCCTCTGTGCTCCAGCAGCTCCAACGCTTCCCTGTTTTAAACAGAGCTTTTCAAAGCTATTCTGTACTTTTAGAGCCAATCAGATTTGTAACTTGGATGTAAACTGCTTTTTACAAGCAAAATCTCATTCCAAGTCTCAACGTCTTTGCCTCTAATTTAATCTGTTTACATGTTCTTCACTTGTCGGTACAAAATCAAACCCTAAACACATTTTACGACATAAAGCTTGGCTCTAGTAAAACGTCAGCCTGATTAAAGACGCCGATTAAACATCACAGCCCTGAATGTGTTCAATAGAGCCGGAAGTAGGGATGGAAACAAATGATTTACAATCCATTTTCAATTAATCAATAATAATGTCTGTTCACAAAGATTATATTTCAGTGTTTATATGGTACCACTGCTGTTCATTCCTAAGAGAAGCCTCACTGGCATTTTTATGTGCATGAGTCGATGACAGTCTGAAAGGTTCACGTTTTCATTTCGCCTTTTCTACAAACAAGTGAAAATAAGGAGGTAAGTGTATCTTTTTTAAAACGCATTTTCAGCGGCCGTTATGTTCATTTAAACTCAGTGCATCCGCCTGATTTCAGTGTATTTTTTAAAATTTTTTTATTAAAATTTCAACTTTATGGTGAAAACACAGCCCTAAAGGAAGGAGGCTAGATGTCAGTCAAAAGGGCAGCTAACTGAACAACTGTCTGAATTTGTACGCATGGATGGCCACCTATGTTTAACAATGTTGGTGAGAAACATGCAGTATTTGTAAGACAAGTAATTCCAGAAAGGAGGCAAGCTAAAGCAGAAACATAAATTGATCCAGAGTGCGATTTCGGTTGATTTACACCATTTAATGGCAATAAGGATGCAGAATGACTTACGGTATGTGGTTCTTTTTGTAAATATAAAAACTAGATAAACTCCTTAGAGGAAGAGTTGCACTCATATTCAGAATTCAAACTTTTAAATATGAAATTATTACATACTGTTCAACAAATTATAAGCGTTTCTAAATAAGAGCAATTTTCTTTTTATGTGCTTTATTGGACGCGTCCATGTTTGTCAAAGAACACTACTGCTACTTTCCAGTTTTTGACATCAGGGTGCAGTATCGGCTGTTGAGCAAGTCCCAGTGCTGTATCTGGTGTTTGTCACAACGCGCTATTATCCAAGTCGTCTTGAAAATGTTGGCTACATATTACGTGTCTTTTCTCTGGCCAGAAGTTTGATGGCAAATCCTCTCTCTTCAAGTCGGCAATCCAATAACGAACCCGTCCGTGGAGGATCAGGATTCGGAAAGGTGAAATAACTATTTTTTTTGTCCCACTTTTACCTAATGTATTATAACATCCAACTGCCATGCACATTGTCAGTTTCACTATAGCTCTGGTGAATTTCAATGGTGAAGTCCTCTGGAAATCTTCAATAATTGTTGATGATTGCAGATGTGTCTTGTAGTTCCCATCGATTTTGTCTGTAAAGCGGGGAGAACAGCGCTAGGCTTCCGCTCCCGGACTCAGTGATCGCGACAAAAATTATTAGTTTTATTTCTTTACTGATTTACACTATATTCATTAAATCACTGCAAACGTATTAGCTTTAGGTATAAATAATGAGCCACTGATTATCCCTTGCTGACCGGACCTTTCCTTTAAATAATCACCTAAATAGAGCACATTTAATCCGCGGTTTAAAGCAGCTGCTAAGTCTTTCCCAGCACTAAATTCTGGAGTACGCTAAAAACAGAGAGCTACAAAACAGTTATTCTCCACTTCATTTAAATTAATTAGTAAAGTCTGACAGTATATCAGAGCGACATATCCTATCTGTTATCATTTTACAATACAAGTTAGAAGTGTTTTTTAACATAATTTATTCATCTTTTTTTAATTCAGTAACTCAATGCGTTCCTGTTTTGTTATATTTTCTAAATGTGTGGTTTAGTATAATACAGTTTAAGAGAACTTTTTTAATTCAGTAAATATCTAATGCAGCTGACACAAAAAACATGTTAAAATATAATGATGTATGTAATTTAAATCCAGCATATTGTAAATATAAATATTTAGTTCCTTATGTTAATGGAAAGATCCTCTTTTTATGAGAGAAAACAAAGGTTTTTATTAAATGGCCACTTATCAATTATCAATTAATCGGTAAGATTGACCAACTTTAGCTGAATTTCTTTATGGTGTTAGGATTATTTTTATTGATGATGTGTGAGTTTTTGCATCCATAGCCATAAGATTGTTTAAAATGAAGGCTGGAAATTTATGGAATGACAAAAATATTGAATTAAAGAAATTTTTTTATTTAATTAATTAAAAGTTGTTCTAACAGCAAGGAGGGAAAATAAAGATACACAAGTTAAAACATATTTGTCAGTCATAGAAAGATCAATGCGAATGTAAAAGTCAGAAGGTGATTGCTTCACAGATTCCTCTGAGGGAACATTTTAAGAGGCAAACAAGACTGAGCTAGTTTCTCTTTTCTTATGCCTTCTGGTTATTGCAATTCTGAATGCTGGTTTTCTCTGAAGTTTAAGTTTTTTCTTAGTACTAATTCCTCCTGGAAGACAACAAACGTGGCCATAAACAGATCTAGATGGATCATTTAAGCCGCACCAAGCAGCTGTTTCGCAGTTCCGTCAACAGTCGTTTAGAAATACGGTAGAGTTTGATCTGGGGATCAAATGTGTTTGGAAATCATACCTGCAACAGATCATGAGGTGATTATCAGAGCTAGACCATAAGGTGAGGCAACACAGCCACACCCTGAGACATGAGGCTCTCCATCTTCCCCTCATCCACACAAAGATGTTTGAACCTGGATGGGCTTAATCTCCCACAAACATCTACAATCTGTTTCAACTTCTCTGTTTATCTCTATCTGATGCTGCTCTGCCTCACAGCAGGAAGGAAAGAATAAGCAGAAAGATCTCAGGGCTGATAAGCTTAAGAGATGAAGGTCTGAAAATTAGAGGACGTTCTAAAAGTCTGTTTAAAGGAATTTGCTGGGGGTTTTTTTACATCTTCTAAAGATAATATTAGAGGCCGGAAAGAAGGTCAACTATTTCACAACTATTAAAGCTTTCCAAAGCAAAGAAAGGATGTAGGGATGGCAGAAATGGCCCCTGGGCCCAAACACAGATGTTTGATGAATATGGATTTATAATTGGAGTAAAATTACTAAAAAAATCAATAAATCTTAAAGTGAAATCTTTTTAATAATTAGGCTATTTCTTAAAATGATCAATTAGTTTTTAATCTAAACCAAAATGTTCAGCCAAATCTTTTTCAATTAATCTATAAAAGTTTGCTAGATATGGCAAGCATTTTCAGACAAATACACAGATGTGGTTCTCATTGCAGCAAAACGACTTAATATTTCTCTAGATTAGTAAAAAGGACCTTGAAATTATAAGTAAACGTAATGCCATTCTTGTAGAAAAGAGGCAGTCTGTTTGCTAAAAAAAAAAAGGAAAAGAAAAGAAATGCTGCATGCATAATTTATGACAGAGCAGGTAAAAATATATTCACTTAATGACTGACTTTATGATTTTAATTTGCTGAAAAACACTAAATAGGAAGATCTTCGACGTGCGGTACAAGACAAACTAAAACTCAATATAAGGCCCTTAAAGCTCATCACTGTGGTACTATATATACGGATCCTGCTTCTCCTGCCCTGAACCAGTCTTCTGTCTTCTTTGAGGAAAGATGAGCTGAATTAAATTTGAACCAAATAAGATTAAAAAATAAGTATTTGATTTTAGAGAGAAAGTAGCTTTGAATTAAACCCACATATATTTACTTTATTACCCCAAAAAGTGGCATCAAAGAGTGTAAAACTAGATGGTGCAAGACGTGAGTTTCTAAGCATTTCATGAACAGATAAGAGGTTTAACCAGCAGCGATCGAGATAAACTCGTCCGACTGCGATCCCTGGCTGATTATTTGGTGTATCAGTTATTCGTCACAGAAACTCACACTAAACGCTGATCTATTCAAATCTAACTCAGAGCCTTAAATGCAAAATATTTATCAGCACTTTTAAAGAACTTGAAGCTTGTGTTTTTTCCCAGCATCACAGATTGAACGGCTATAATTCTTGTTTAACCGTGCTGACTATAAACAGAACCTATCAAAATCCTTTAGACTCCTAGAACTTTGAATTTGTACAATCAACACAATAAAAAGAAAACATTAGCCAATTAAAAGTAATATCTGCTACTTGGAGAGACTGGGAGGGAAAGTTGCCTCCACAGATGAGGCTGCATTCCTACTTTTTAATACATTCCTGAATGTGTCCTGACATGAGGCTGCAGCAGAAAGCTGAGCTGAACCATTATTAGCCCATCAGTTACATGCTAACACTGTAAGGCTGAAAGCTGCCACAGGAAATACTCTAGATACAGACCCCTGTTTGATAAGACCAATGTAAGGCTGTTTTTTACGATTCCATCTCCTTCACAGAGAAACATTTCCTCACTGCTGCTATGAACCCAGTACTCCCAGCTCCTGCAGTGAGGAGCCCAGCTTTAAAGACTGTGTTAAGGAAAACATCAGCAGGGTTTACAAGCTGCCTGCCAGCTGAGGACACGTCGCTCTCTGCCTGCAGTCCCGGCTGTGTGTTACGGAGCTTCTGGTTACCTGTGTTGTCGAACTGCAGCTGCTGGCAGCTGGAGGAGCTCCTCCAGGGACAGCTGTACACCGCTCCCCTCTCCACCACACTGCTGGAGGACGACGTGTTGGCTCGAGGCGCTCCAATGAGAACGTCAGATCTGCGGAGGGAAGAGAAGGTCATCAGAAAGCTGCTGAGAACGGGAAACGGCCTCAAATGTCCAGGCCACAGATAACCAAACTGATAGGGAGATTAAAAGTCATTAACCAAGAATCAGGTCACAGTCAGGAGTTGTTTTATGTACATTTCAGTACTTTGACCTGCAATAGTTCCTGCACCAAGATCATAGCAACTAAAGTATCCTTCAGACACCTAGAAACCTGTCCTTCATACCAACGTTTGGACAATAACCCTTCCTAAAAGCACTGTTTACAGCAACATACAGCAGAGTATGCTCTGACCAAATCAATCAAGATTTTTTGGCCAATGTCGGCTGAAATGATGTATCGCTAACGATGCAAATCTGAACACATCGTCACCATCATGATCTTATATCAAATATGTCGCTTTTTTGACAGAGAAATCATCATAATTTATAAAATACCTATTTAGAAATGACTGGAGGAGTAATTCCTTTTCTGATTCAAATCCTAATCCTATGAGATGCAAACATTTCAGTCAGATTCAGAACAACATAAATTCCATGAAGAGCAATTCATTGCAGACGAGTATGTGCTACCAACTTTCACACACACTGGATCAGAAATAGAAAAAATGACAATTCAAATTGTGAACATAACAGCAGAAGGTATAAACAGTTTAGAATACCATTGGTTTGTAACATAGGCATCTAAGAACGCTGGCCTGAAGCCACTGAACTAAAACAAGTCAATAAACATGCCTCTGATCCAAGTTTATCATCTGACCCATTGTCTTTTTAAAGGGGAACGCCGTTTTTTTTTTTCATTGGGCCCTTTCATCCGCGGTTACATTTTTTTATATTTATATATTTTTTTAAGAACAAAGTGGCGCGTGTATGACGTCATCCGCGCCAGACTGGAGTTGTGACAGGCAGCCCGAGTCACCTTCTATTCATTCAGCTAGCTAATCTGAATCGTTCAATTCCATTTTGAGAGTGAGATCATCTGTGGTAGCAGCAGTAGACATCTTCCATCCAGTTCAGCGGACAGGAAGAATGAATAGTAGCCGGCGCGCGTGGATGACGTCATACACACTCCGCTTTGTTTAAAAAAATATATAAATATAAAAAATATAACTGCAACCGTCAAATATGTCTAAAAAAATTCCTGACTACGCGTCGGACGGTCGCAAACCCGCACAGACCTCAAGTGGAAGTGCGCAGACAAAAAGCAGCTGTGATTGGTCCTTAATATGCCTTTCCAGCTGTCTGTGTGGTCGTCCTTCTCAATTCGTTGCCAGGGCGCGCCATTTTTGAAAACAGAAGAAGCGAGTTCTCGAATAGGCTCCCCCCTGACGCTTTGACGGGAAACTGCTGTGCGTCCCTTAAAATTCCAGACCGACGGTGTAGAAGCATCCCAGCGAAACTGGTTCACAACCAGACCCAAGCGACATTTGATGTGTGCGGATGCAGAAGTCTTATCTGCCTATAGTGACCCAGATCTGTTTGAGGAACATCCATAACTCTGGAGCCCACTTTAACACATGGCTCAGGATTTATCTCTCACTGATAAACAACCAAACTAGCAGATAAAAAACAGGTGAGAAGGCTTTAATGTGGCAGCAAATTGTAAACTCTAAGAATCAACTTGCTCTTCTTCACTTTAAATGACACCGGCTTTCTGCTGGTTACCTCCTTGTCAAAAGTCTGCAATACATTCTTTCATCTTTAGTAAATCAGAGATTTTAACAAAGTGTGTTTGCTGGTTGGCACCTCTTCAGCAGATGTGAGTATAAAAACTAAATGTCAGAGCTGAGAGCACGCAGCCCTGCAGGGATCCAGTATTGGACACATGGGTATCTGACATTTTTTTTCCATTTACTGGATTCTGCCTGTTGAAAAGCAGAAGCTTATCTGGGAGGTAAAAATATGTAGAAAGCTTTAGAGGTGAAACGTGAGGTTGCATTTTTATCCTTCAGCCCTGCCCTGCCTTTCCCTGCCCCTCATTTTATTCTTTAATTAATCAGCTCTCTGTAAATCTTGTAAAAACAAAAGCAGCTCAGTGAAACCTAGCGAGCCGCTGGCTGCATGCAGAGAGCACCGATTTCATCTGTGTTCAGAACAGCAGGCCTTTGTTCACAGCAGCTTGGTTTAATTGTGGATTTGCTTTCAGGAAGCCGTCCGGTAAGATGCACCAAAAAGTAACCTTATTTATTTATTTATTTATCACAGCAGCTTGGTTTAATTGTGGATTTGCTTTCAGGAAGCCGTCCGGTAAGATGCACCAAAAAGTAACCTTATTTATTTATTTATTTATTTATTTATTTTTTTTTGGGGGGGGTTGTGAGGTTCATCGATTCATGTAGCTGTGTTAGAAGGATTTCAACTGACAACAGGAAAACAAATGGATCAACAGACTGATTCGTAAAAAGCTTAAAATCCAAAAGTTCTTCCTTTCTGCTTCAGGGTTTAAGAGGGAAAGCAGCTGCAGGATGCTGCCAGATAAAAGACTTTTGATAAAATGATCATCAGCAGAGCGACCTGTTTTAGAAAAGCACTGGAGCATGAAAGACAGCAGCCAATAGAGAGCCAATCACTGCTGCCTATCAATACAGACAGATTTATAATCAGTCAAAAACCACTGAAGTCCATCGTTCCATGAAGCAGTCCACGCTGAAACTGTTTCCTGCAAAATCATAATAACTCATTCCTAAACTCTACAGACCTTAGTTAGGATCCTATATGCTCAAAATAAAGAACAGCGACTCCTTTATTTAACCAACAAAACAACAACCTGACTTTGCTTTAGCGGGACCCAGCTCACACTGGTTGTGATAAAAGGCTTTCTGATTAATTATTATTTTTCATGTCTTTGTTTTATACTTTGTTTTAATCTCTATTTTTAGTCAACTTAAGTGTTTTGTTTTTTATTTACCATTAAAAGATAGTGTGAACATAAGGAATGTGTGCAATAAGTAAACAAGGCAGGAATTAAGTCAAGAAAGTCAACAACCCCCAGTGAAGGTGGCAGAGAAAGGGAAAGTTGAAGATCAAGTGTGAAAAAGTGTGAAAACTTTTAGAAGCCAAGAGGATTAAAACAAAAGTAGCACTCTGGCTACAATACGAATGTTAGCGCTGATTTATGCTGGAGCTAAAGCTACCAAAGCTGCCATGCTCAGTGTTTTCCACAGTAGTTTAGGAGAGTGAGGATCTCCCATCTCTGGGGTTTTATTGTGTGTGTACATTTTCAAGCCCATCATATCTCTTTGGTGTATTTTGTATACAAACACACTCTGGTAGATAAGAACCTACAAAAATAGATAATACAAATATTTTCTATTTAATCCATCCATCTTCACCTGCTTATTCCATCAGGGTCGCAGTGAGGCCGGTACCCATCACCAGCAGTCTATGGGCGAGAGGCGGATAACACCCTGGACAGGTCGCCAGTCTGTCACAGGGCAACACAGAGACATAAAGCCATGTAAACAAAAGAAGAATCTAGAGAAGCCAATAAACCTAACAGTCATGCTTTAGGACTGAGGGACGAAGCCAGAGTACCAAGAGAGAACCCACGCCTTAGCTCCAAGAAGACAGACCCCAGGCCGGGAAATGAACCAGGAACCTTCTTAGTCCAAAGCAACAGTGCTACCCTCTGCACCACTGTTGTGCCTCAATTTAATCCAGAAAAACAAAAACTAATTTGCTTTTTTTTTTTTTTTACTAATTACTGAACATGCAAACAATTATGAATTAACTTGTTACAAACTTGGGAAATTTATAATTTATTTAAAGCAAAAAAAAAAAAAAAAAATCTGGATATTCAGAATCTATTTACAAGTTTGCAATGAGGCTCTGAACCTTTTTCTGGCCTTTCCAAAAACTCCCTGACTTTATCCGATTTCCTACTGGATCACAGAGCAGCAGAAGCATCTCGCGGCTCATCCCTCCTGGCAGTGCTGAGTGAAACAACGCTCAGCTTCCCCGGTTACCCCACTTTCTAACAGTCTCCGTAAAATACTTGTCAAACCCACCGTAAATGAATAAAATCCCTTGATGTGTCCCTGACCTGTCCACACCTGTAAAATCAGTTGTTTGGCTTCTTTATTTTTATTCTTTTCTGTTTTTACGCACAAAGATGCAGCAGCATCCACCTGCTAGTTGATAAAAAGCTGATTAATGATCAAGGATCAGAACAGGGTAACAGGCTTAATGCTTTTTAAGGTGAGGGGGGTCATCAGTGATCAGATATGACTCAACCGCTCGCTCTTTATGTCGGTAAGGAGCTGTCGGACGTAGTAAACAGGAAATATAATTTTAAGATGCCAGGTTAAATGTTTGCTATTTAACAGTAGATTTCCACAGAAAGAAACCCGCCTCCTACCGGATCCCTGTTTCCAGAACCACAATTTCATACTTTCTGAGGGGCAAGCAGACATATCATTGTCCGGACCTCGCTTCTCGGATGTTGTAAGTCATATAGCGCACCAATAAATGGGCATAAAACATTTGAACGAACTCCACATCTACTGGAACAATGCCATTTGGAAAGATGAGACAAAAGTAGAGATGTTTGGCCATAACCAAAGGTTCTGTGTTTGGGAAAAAGAGCATTTGAATTACATGAAAGAGCCTCTGTCCAAAGGCTGAAGCTTGAGCCGGATGAGGCCTGAAATAAAGGCCCATCTGTGAGACATATTTTCAAATATTAGCTTAATACACAATAAGCATGTCAGAACCGGACTGAAAAGCATGACAGCAATTAGCTCAAACCTAATTACTCTGGTCCAGAATTTTGTGTTATGGATGAAAATAACAAAATACAAGCAACTGATGGCTGTGTGTTATCTCCCTATTTCACAACCTTTGTTAGATTCCTCTGTATAAAACCCAAATCAAACAAAAGGAATCACCTCAGCACAGCTTTAGACTCCCTCCGTGGTAAAATTCTAGAGTAATAACGTCAAGATTTTGCTTTCTTGACTTGAGAGTTAACCTAAAAAGGATCAGGGTAAGAAGAA